ATAATTTAGGTCAGCATTGAAATTCAGAAAATATGACCAAAATAGTATATTTGTGAAAAGTTGGAAATTATTAACCATTTTAACAAACCATTTAATGGCTCGTCCCATTTTTGTCATCAGAACATGCATAATTTGTGGCTAGCAGACAGCAACCTAACCCAAGCTTCTGCATTCAAGTCCACGAGACCACTCGTTGTTTGTCCCCTCAGTTGCTATATTATATAATTCAAGAATCATCGAAACGATTTCTAACTTCCCGGCTCAAAGCCCTGCACAAAGTTTTTAGTATAAATATCCAATATCCGTTAACTATTTGGCTCGATACTACCGAAAGCGAGCCAACTCTCACATTCATCTACACATAATATAATACGCCGAAGGTAAAAACGGGAGCCCCATTTCAAATTTCCTGCAACGAGAGTGAGAGTAGGAAGGACATTTTAGTCTTCACAATTACTTTTTTTTATTCATTAAAAAGACACGTACTGGGATTCGAACCATGACCATTTTAAAGAAAAGCTAAGATCACAACCAATCACACTAAGTACATTTGTTGCATTTTTCTAAATTAAAAACATATAATAGCAGGGAGGAAAAAACCATTTCCCCATTTCAAATTCTCTACTCGAGGAGCGTTTATAGGAAAGGTAGAATAGGGAGTGTCAATTTTTTTCTCTTTCTTCTGTGGAACGGGCCAACTTACAGTACACATGCGAATTTAAACGGGCCCAGGAGTGTCAATTTTTTTTCTTTAAGCCCTTTTATTTCTCTGTTGTGATAAAATATGTATGAAAAGGAGTTGAATGCATGGTATCTAATGAGCTAATCGCTAACCATAAAATAAAAGAGTTGAATGGGCCTGACCTACATGAGATTTGGCCATCAAGTGAAACAAATGAACATCATTGGTTTGTCATTCTAAAACAAGCTATTTTCTCTGGCATAATATATATTATGCTATTATTCTATATCTTATTGGCTAAAATATAATGTATTTTAGAGTGAGTCCATGGTTCAACCTCGACCAACCCAATTAGTCTAATTTTTATCATTTCAAATATATATTTTATAATTATTTGATATCATAATGATCAAATTATAGTGTATTTTATAGGGAGTCGTTTGGTATTTGTTAGTAAAAAACTAAACATAAAATATCTATTTAGTTATTTTAAACATTAAAACGATCCTAAATATTTTCAGTTCCTTTTGAATTTCTATGGTTTTATTCCCGAATAAGTGATGTGCAAATGGCGAATTGTAGTCGTCTCTTTTCTTTCACTATTTTTTATTTTCAAATATAAAGTTTAAAAGTAAAGAATAATTAGAATTTGGCATGGGTCGGTCAAACAGGCTGAATTTCAAGTTTTGGCCCGTTTGTTTTATGCATTGCAAATTTATTAGCTTGTTGATGGAAATGGCTTGGAAAAAAGACATAAGTTGTACCTTTGCAGAAATGTCCTCAAATGTTTGAATGCATTGTGAATCAGTTTTCGTGACTTTTGTGATGGTGTATGTGCTTGACGATTGCTCGATGTTGTAACTGCTTAATTTGAGAGTGAATCTTTTGATTTTCCCTATGAGTTGTGATACCAGTTCTGGTGGTTGCAGCATGTTGTCGTTGTTGGCCTGTAAAAGTTGTTCAGTCGTGATGCTAAATACCTTTCTTTCTTTTTTAACAAATTGTGTAGTAGTGCTATGAAACAGACCACCCATGAACGCGATGCTTATTATGGTCTGTTCTTACTTCCGGTGGTGAGAAATTGTGAATTGAGAATCATATTCGTCTACCGCACTGTGTCTGGCTGGTGGCTGCTTACTATGCTCTCTAGAGTTATGAAACAGACTACCCATGAACGTTACCCTTAAGGGTCCATAACTTTGCGAAAAACCAAATTTAGGCAATCAAAGGTGGTGGATGTGTGATGATTTTTTTTATGGCTTAATTGTTTGTGAATTGGATATCTGATCTTTGTATGATTAGAGGTGATGTTTGCTTAATAGAATAATATATTTTAATTCATATTTATTTTTAACATGAACTTTAGTAACTCAAAACCTTCGAGACACATATCACCTACTGCATTGTATCATTTTCCCTGGGTGCTTGTTGTGTTGTCAAACTTCTTTGCTGTTGCTGCTGCTTTTATACTAACAGGGGAGTTAAGAACCCATGAATGTTTCCGTTTGACACAAACAGGAGGAATTGCTTCTAAATCGTGCACTAAAGATGATTGGAGGAAACATTTCTGTTGCAGTTGATATACTGGAGACCAGAACAAAAGCAATTTATCACATCAAAACCAACCATATGAACTATTAGCATTGTTGCTTTACTCTTTTTTCGTGGTTGAGTCTCCTTCAAAAATTTTAGTTTGATTTTAGAAAATTTTGCTTCTGCAGTCCTGTCTTGCCACCAACGCGTTCAGTAGATGGAGATGGCAGAGGCGAAGGCTATTTTTGTGTTGTTGTTGCTGGTTTAGGGATCGGTTTGTGAAGAAGAGGGAGAAGAGAGGGGGAAAGGGAAATGCAGGAGAGGGGGGTAACTCTTTTCTCCGGCAAAAATGGAGTGAAGAAAGGAATTATGATCAGTAAGAATATGGTTATCTTACATAACGGTCTCTATTCTATTTGAAATGAGCTTGGGAGGCAGTGTTAAAGACGAGCTGCAACCAATTTATAGTGAGAAGAGAGCTATGAACTGTGATCATGTCTTATTTCAAGTTAGAAGGTAGTTTCAGTATAAGGATTATTTAATTTGACAAGTTGTTTCGTCCATGATTCTTGGTAGTTTCAGTGTCATTCTAGCCATTGTTTAGTCTGTAATTTTTGAGAATTGATGTGCGAGTAATGACTTTCACTTAGCTTCAACTATTATGTGTGTATTTATTGGCATGTGATAGAAATCTCTTTTCCTTTTCTTTGAATTCAGTTTCATACTCTAATTGTATCATTTGTACATAGGCAAATCATGCTCGAGATGACAACTCGCTAATATGGCTGGTGCAAGGAACGAAAGCCATCATTAGAATTCAGACCGACAACGGGGAGGAATGCCCAGGACTAATTTAATGATGATTGATGATGGTATAATAAAAACTGCAGTCTGCATCAGCACCAATTTCTAGGCCTAAGTAAAGTTATTCAACCCAGAACTCTGCTTAGCGCTAAAAATTTCCCTCGCCCAACCTTGATCCTGTTTGACCCACTTCTGAAGAGTCAAGATATATGACTAATCCTCTCCGTTCGTATTTTCTTATTGACTCTTTCTGACCCTTTAGGTTAGGACGGGTCGGGAAGAATCAGATTAGTGGGTTGGTCCTAATAAAGTGGAATCCCAATCCCTTCATTCTCACTTGCTTTCTCTCCCATTCCACAAGTGGGTAACATACAGTAGTCTTGCATGCGGAAGACTTGCAGCTGGCAAACCCAGCTTTAGGTACCAAAGTTTATCCTTTTACTTCGTTCTTCCATTCCCATTTTGGTTTTAAGCTTTACCAAATAATTGGAGCTTTGTTGGGGTTTTTCGAACCTATTACAGAAACCAAAGATAACTCATGTATGCTACATTGTACGTTATCTTGACCGATGCTCTTTACTGGTGAATGAGTCTTCTTTCTTTGTCAGTGCATCATACTTTAATATTTTATAACTGTTTTGTGAAGTAGAAATTGTAGTGGTATAACTACGACAAGATGGTAAGTGGTAACTGAGAAAAAAATACCAGCTGTGATTTGATCGGGCCGTGGAACGATGTGGAAGATTACTGTGATTTGGTTGTTCTCAAGTTATTCTTGCCAATGGGTTACTGAAAGTAGTTGGTCAAAGGTCGTGGCTTTATTTATTTATGGAGTTTCTGAAGGTTTTGTGAGGCAAATATACCTTCCTTTCTTAATGTAGATATATAGTAGGCAATTATGCGTTCCTTTCTTAATTAATGTACATATATAGTAGGCAATTATACGTAGTTGTTGGATGACCCATATATTGCTAGAACTTTCGGATGGTTGAGTTGCAAACTCTTTTGGGCCATCCGGACGAGGGATTATGATAATTAGGAATTTATATGTAGGATGTGTGGCAAATAGTTTGAGCCCCCTTCAATTTACTAATGACTGTTCCAAACCCAAAATTGCACAATAGCTCAATTGTTGGGCGTGAATTAAACAATTTTGTATCAGGATTACAGCTTTGGAAATGTTAATATAGTCAACTGATTCTTCTGAGTTTTGTGTTAGAGCTTATGAACTTACAGGTGATGCGGATTCAATGGTCTTCCGCAGTATGTTGGTAGGATATATGCAGTATGTTGCAGTGTGGAAGTACTTTTGTTTTATATATGTTGGTAGGATATATTATGCTTCCTTTGTTTTAAAAATTGATGTGCTCTTTTCTGTATACACCAGCAGACTTGCCATTTTCCCAACCCATATGTTCATGTCCAAATTATCTATTTGCGACATGTAGGCTGTAAAGCAATAAACCGGGAAGTGTTGACAACTAAGTTTCAGATGCATTATTTGTTTTATAAAGGGTCAAACTGCAGCTTCGGAAATGTTAATAGAGGTTAACTAATTCTCCTGGGTTTTGTGTTAGAGCTTATGAACTTACAGTTGCGGTGCGGATTCAATGGTCTTCTGGATCTCGATTTAAGATGCCCCTCCAGAAAAAGGATTCGTCTAGCATTTGTCAAGTTGTCATCCTATTAAATATTAATATTTGTTTTTTTTTTAATCTTGGGAAGCACATAGTATCAGGATTGCAGTTGATGTCGGGCAAGTAAATTCATGAAGAAATATGAATTGATGGACCGGGCTGTGTAAAGTGTCAATATTATTTGCCAAAAAAAATATGGTACTTCCTTACTTCATATAATTTATATGTATTTTCATCAACATTATAGTGCTTTTAAATGTATGAAATACTTCTAAATCTTTCGTGATGTAACTGTGGGTATCGATACTAATATTTTTTAAATGCAAAATGACTAACCATTACTTAATTATTACCAAAATCTATTCATAATGATTACTTCACAACAGACCAACGGGCCGAGCAAAGACGCATTCAAGACGCAAGCTGATGTGTAGATATTCGCAACAGTTCTGCGACCAATTCTTTTGGGCTATCTCCGGCCAAGGGGCCGGGTAATAAGCTAGTATGCTATAATACATCAATGGAACTTCAATCATAAATAAGGTCCAGAAGTTACCAAAACTGCATGACATTTACATGCGACAGACCACCTATGTACAGGTTAAATAATGAAGAGCTTATGTGCAGACGAAGCCCCGAGACTTAGAAAACCTACCGTCCAGTATCTACGGTCCTAAGAAAAAGAGGTGATAATGTCAATAGGGTACTGACCTTCCATGTCCAGGATACCCGTACGGGTTATGCTGTTGATAGTAAGCCCCCGCAAACATAGGGTTGCTGTGACTTCTAAAGGGAGGGTACCCTGGGAAGCCATAATGTGGTGGTGGTGGTAGTGGTGGTGGCGGCGGCGGCACATGCGGATAAGGATCAGCTGGGACAGGAGGTATAAAGGGGCCCCTTATGAACTCCTGGGTGGGCACCGGTGGTGATTCAGGTTCGTTCCACGATACAGCCACCCGACGACGCTTGGGAGCACTGCTCTCGTCCTGAGGTGAAGTGGAAGACATGGAAGTGGCAGAGGAGGCAGCAGCGTTGGTCTTGGCGCTCGGATCAACCAAGGTAGGTTCAGAGGACACAGGAGCTGGATTGTCCTGCTGTTCTTGCTGGCGGGGTAATTTAAGCTCGCGAGGAGGTCTGGAACTGGGTATCCCGTTTGTATTCGGATGAAGTTTCTCTTCCCTCTGCTTCTCCAGGTCATAAATGTGGGCCCGGATGCTCTCGGCCAAGCCCTGATCTGAGATGGGTTGGACGACGGCTTTCCATATGTCTAGTTCTCTGTTAATCGCTTCAATCTGCAAATACAGGTTTGAACCCAAGTGTTAAGTATGGTCAGATCAAGCAACATCAGAACCCAAAATTTACCCTTAACATCTAAAACACAATCATTAGGGTCGTTTGGATAACTGTGACGAGTCAATATGGGGACATATTGCGGAAAATCAGCCTTACTTTCACAGTCCATATTTATAGATCATTCATTCGGGAAAAAACATTTTCAAATTTATCAATCGACCTGTCTTAACAATTCTCCATCTAAATGGAGACGAGGTGAGAATGCATATAAAGGTGTCACAAAACCATGCAAATTCTTGTTCTTGGTTATAAATGAAATGTCAACCAAGAAGCACCAAATTCTAAGTAGAACTGTGGAAAGGAAAACCAAAGCAAATGACAAAAACAAATACCTGCTGACCAATGGTTTCAGTTCCCAACGACTCCTTTGGGGATTTAGGAAAATACTTATTCAGGGAAATCTTGGTTGTTGAAGGGGCCTTCTCAAGCAGACTCGATGCATTGATACAGGAAAGAGCAACCCTCGTCCGCTTGTTTCTCATAAGGTATTTGAGAAACTCTGTTCAGAGTAAAAGACACGTTGTTAGTTTGATCTTTGATTCATAGTGATAACACCTTGGACCAGCAATACAGAACTTTTGAGAGGGAAAACAAACTACAAATACACGAGACTCACTTGGGATCAAATTCTTGAGGCCGAGAATCCGAAATAGCTTGGTCACATTGAGGGGCCAATTTCCTTTACCAAAAACACTAAAGAGCTCCTCGTGGTCGAAATGGGAGACCAATTTGTAGACAGCTAAAAACAGCAAGAAACATACAGCTTCCAAGTTATCCTTAATCTGCTTAGCAAGTTCAGATCTCCAGTCCCTTGCAAAGCTCAAGGCTTTCCTCTTTGCTTCTGGCTTAACACGTGTTGACATTTTCCGCATAAACTCTAACAAGAGCAACGGACCGTGTAATGGATTAGCTAGGCCGACTGCTTCATTGCCCTTCTTCAAGATGAGAGAGGACGGATTCTTAATTACACCTAACACGAACTCTCCATGATCAGATGCAAGTTCCAGGGTATCATAAACCTCTTTGCAGTATAGAGACTTCTTCTCGAGTCTCCTAAATAATAATCTGAGACGCGTGCTGCCCTCAAGACATTCAGGCACAAACAGCGATTTCGAGGGCAAAGAAACATTTATGTTGCTAGCTCCAGACTGCTCAGTCTTTATGGGGGAAGGATCACTGCAGCTTGCTGAAAATGCAAAGGAAGAACATTTAGTAATGAAGCTATTTATAATCTAATGATCTACAATGAAGAAATGAAATGAAGCCTAGAATTTTAATGACACTGAAGATAAAGCATACCATTGGGTTACCTCTAGGAGCAACCATAATAATAGATTCACAAGAAGCCTATACTTAACAATTTGATCATTCAAATAGCTTACCTTGATCAATGGATAACCTCTCTGACTGCTGGGCTGGTACATTTAACCTTTCTGGCTGCTGTGCAGGTAAACTTACAGAGGTCACAGCAGCCGAACCAGGAGATTGTGTGTGATTATCATCAGCACGTGCATTTGACCATGAACGTTTACCACCTGATAGAGTCCTCGAGTCTGAAAGGATATTGAGAGCATTCAAGGAGGAGATAGAAGCAGGGTTTGAGGGTGCAGGTTGTTTATCCTCAAGGGAACAGGCCAAGTTGGGCGCCTGATTATCTTTTGGCAAGGTCATTGCAAACTTACTAGAGATCTTGTCAGCTAAACCAAGGTCTTGCAACAGTGTATGAGCCTGGCTGAAGTTAGCAACAACGCCCAATTGAATTGCAAGTTCATCATCATCAAAAGCAGAGGCTAACCCATATGCAGCCAGAAGTTGCAGAAATGCCATAATGTCCAAGGCGTGCTCGGCATCACACTTCAATCTTGTCATCCAATCAAAGGCTAGTTTCATTGCTTCATTTCTTGTAGTTGGTTTAATTTCAGGGGACATTTTTGTCAGCTGCTCCAGTAACAATATGCAACTGCTTCTTACAACAGCCTCTTCAAACTCAGCATCCCCCTTCTTCAAATGTGGAGGGTAAAATCCTTGCATTGCATCCAAGACAAGCTTTGCAGGATCAGATGAAAGTCTGAGAGCAGTCTGTACTTCATCCTTCATCGAATCATGATCCTTGCAACGCTCATTTAAGAAGATTTGCAAGTCTCTTCCATTCATTACCACACAGAAGCTAATGTTCGCTTCAGATGAATGAGCCATGGTACACATAGATGAAACCAGGGGCTCTAGCTTCACTCCTACAGAAAGCGACCTGGCAAGTTTTCTATCTTTCAGTTCAGATTCCCCACACCTACTCTCAACCTGCTTCATTTTCAACTCCACATCTTTCATACGGTCTGCCAATTTCTTACCTTCTGGGTCAAATTCCTTATACCTCTCTTCAAGTTGCTTCTCCTTCAGTGCAAGTTTCTCCTCCCTCAACTTGAGGCTATTGTCAACCACTTGAAACCGTGAGAGTCTCTTTTTACAATCCTGCACCTTTGATTCAAGCTCTTTCAATTGCTTTTCTTTTGCTTCAGTTTCCCTTCCTTTCATCTTTGATTCTCTTGACCATTGTTCAAGTTCTTTGTGCTGCTTTTCTTTCTTCTCCATTTCTCTTTCTTTTGCCGTTAATTCGTAAAGACGTCGCTCAAACCTTGCTGTCCTTGCTTTGAACTCTTCCGATTTTTGGTTGAAGCGCTTCTCTCTTGATTCAAGAACATCATAGCACTGCCGAACTTCTAATTCCTTTTTTCTTGACACTTTATCTCTCTCAACGATTTCCTTCTCTTTAACTTTCAGTGCACTTGAAAGTGCATCAAACTTCACTGTTTCCTCTTTCAACTCTTCTAATTGCTTAAGCAATTTGTTCTCCTTCAACTTGAGATCATCGAGGCATTGTTGGACTTTAAGCTCAAGCTCCTTAGACCATAGCTCTTTCTCCCCAATTTCCCTTTCTTTCAATCCCAACCTATTCACATCTTTCCCAAACCTAACCTCTTTTGCTTTAAACTCCTCTAATTTCTTCTCTAACCCTTCCTCTCTAACTTTGATATCCTTAAGCCTTTCTTCAAAGCCTCCCTCTTTCTCCTCTATCTCCCCTTCTTTCTCTTTCAATTCGCGCAAAGACTGCTCAAACCTCACCTGCTTTGCTTTAAACTCTACAAATCGATCTCGGAACCCCTTCTCGCGCAACTTGAGCTCGTTGAACGACTGTTCAACTTTGCATTCAAGTTCTTTGCAGCGCTTCTCCCACTCAACTATTTTCTCCTCTTTCCTATGGAATTCCTCCACACTTTGTTCGAACTCTCTAACCCTTAATCTCAACTCATCAAAGGATTGCTGAGTATTCGATTCGAGTGCTCTACATTGTCTCTCTTTCTCCTCGATTCCCCTCTCTTTAACTCTCAATTCAGTGAAACGAACCTGGAATTCTGCAGATTGCTCGTCGAATGCCGCTCTCTCGAGCTCAATCTCCTTCTCTTTCGCCTCGAGCTCCTTCCTCTTCTCCTCTGCCTCCTCTTCAAGCTCCCGAACTCTAATCGCTCTCTCCTCGATGTAACTCCCCAGCGCCTCGAAATCTTCCTCTCTATCTCCGAGCTCCTTCAATTTCGCATCCGCCGCCGCCTTCTCCGCCGCAATCTCCTCCTCGTGCTTCATCCGGACCGCAATCTCCTTCTTCATCAGTAACTCGAAAGCCGCCTCCTTCTTGTCGACCAACGACGACTTCCGTTTCGCCGCCTCGGCCTCCTTCTTTAGCTCCTCCTCCTTCCGCGCGAGCTCCTTCATCGCTTCTGCCACCTTCTCCTCCGCTAGCCGCAGCTCCTCGGAGCGCGATTTCATGGCGGCGGCTTTGGAACCAAACTGCGCGGCGAAGGAAGCAACCAAGGAAGCGTGGTCGATGAGCTGGTCTATCGTATCCCCTGAATGAGGAGGCTTTGTCGGGGACTCGCCGCCGGCGACAACTTCTCTCTCCATTGTATGTGTTATTTGTTTTCCTTTGATGTCGGTGGAGCGGCAGAAGACAGGGATGAGTATTGAGGGGATCCGGATTTATATATTATATAGACTAAAGAGTGTTGAAGCAGTGGGTGCAACTGTGCAAGGGAATCAGTTTAGGTTTGGGAATTCTTACTCTGTAGTTGCAAAGGAAAAGGGTTTAGTCTTTCTTGCACCACCGCACTGGAATTCTGTATCCTTTCCTGACCTGTTTTCTTTCCCCCAAGTGTCCAAGTCTTTATTATTTCAATAATCATTTTTAATTTTCCGTTATTTTTACTTCTAATCCAGCGTTTCGCACTTGGACGTTAGTAAGCAACTAGCCTATTATCCGGCCCGTTGGCCGGATTACTGTATGTTACTCACTTGTGGAATAGGAGAGAAAGCAAGTGAGAGTGAAGGGATTGGGATTCCACTTGATTAGGACCGACCCACTAATCCGATTCTTCCCGACCCGCCCCAACCTAAAGGGTCAGAAAGAGTCAATAAGAAAATACGAACGGAGAGGATTAGTCATATTCATATATCTTGACTCTTCAGAAGTGGGTCAAACAGGATCAAGGTTGGGTGAGGGAAATTTTTAGCGCTAAGCAGAGTTCTGGGTTGAATAGCTTTACTTAGGCCTAGAAATTGGTGTTGATGCAAACTGCAGTTTTTATTATACCATCATCAATCATCATTGAGTCCTGGGCATCCCTCCCTGTTGTCGGTATGAATTCTAATGATGGCTCTGTTCCTTGCACCAGCCTTATCAGCGAGTTGTCATCTCGAGCATGATTTGCCTATGTACAAATGATACAATTAGAGTATGAAATTGAATTCAAATAAAAGGAAAAGAGATTTCTATCACATGCCAATAAATACACACATAATAGTTGAAGCTAAGTGAAAGTCATTACTCGCACATCAATTCTCAAAAATTACAGACTAAACAATGGCTAGAATGGCACTGAAACTACCAAGAATCATGGACGAAACAACTTGTCAAATTAAATAATCCTTATACTGAAACTACCTTCTAACTTGAAATAAGACATGATCACAGTTCATAGCTCTCTTCTCACTATGAATTGGTTGCAGCTCGTCTTATCACTGCCTCTCAAGCTCAATTCAAACAGAATAGAGACCGTTATGTAAGATTACCATATCCTTACTGATCATAATTCCTTTCTTCACTCCATTTTTGTCAGAGAAAAGAGTTACCCCCCTCTCCTGCATTTCCCTTTCCCCCTCTCTTCTCCCTCTTCTTCACAAACCGATCCCTAAACCAGCAACAACAGCACAAAAATAGCCTTCGCCTCTGCCATCTCCATCTACTGAACGCGTTGGTGGCAAGACAGGACTGCAGAAGCAAAATTTTCTAAAATCAAACTAAATTTTTTGAAGGAGACTCAACCACAAAAAAATAGTAAAGCAACAATGCTAATAGTTCAGATGGTTGGTTTTGATGTTATACATTGCTTTTGTTCTGGTCTCCAGTATATCAACTGCAATAGAGATGTTTCCTCCAATCATCTTTAGTGCACGATTTAGAAGCAAGTCCTACTGTTTGTGTCAAACGGAAACATTCATGGGTTCTTAACTCCCCTGTTAGTGTAAAACCGGCAGCAACAAAAAAGTTTGACAACACAGCAAGCACCCAGGCAAAATGATACAATGCAGTAGGTTATATGTGTCTCGAAGGTTTTGAGTTACTAAAGTTCATGTTAAAAATAAACATGAATTAAAATGGATAATTCTATTAAGCAAACATCCCCTCCAATCATACAAAGATCAGATATCCAATTCACAAACAATTAAGCCATAAAAAATCATCACACATCCACCACCTTTGATTGCCTAAATTTGGTTTTTCGCAAAAGTTATGGACTCTTAAGGGAAACGTTCATGGGTAGTCTGTTTCATAACTCTAGAGAGCACAGTAAGCAGCCACCAGCCAGACACAGTGCGGTAGGCGAATATGATTCTCAATTCACAATTTCTCACCACCGGAAGTAAGAACAGACCATAATAAGCGTAGCGTTCATGGGTGGTCTGTTTCATAGCACTACTACACAATTTGTTAAAAAAGAAAGAAAGGTATTTAGCACCACGGCGGAACAACTTTTACAGGCCAACAACGACAACATGCTGCAACCACCAGAACTGGTATCACAACTCATAGGTAAAATCAAAAGATTTACTCTCAAATTAAGCAGTTACAACATCGAGCAATTGTCAAGCACATACACCATCACAAAAGTCACAGAACCTGATTCACAAAGCATTAAAACATTTGAGGACATTTCTGCAAAGGTACAACTTATATGTCTTTTTTCCAAGCCATTTCCATCAAAATGCTAATAAATTTGCAATGCATAAAACAAACGGGCCAAAACTTGAAATTCAGCCTGTTTGACGACCCATGCCAAATTCTAATTATTCTTTACTTTTAAACTTTCTATTTGAAAATAAAAAATAGTGAAAGAAAAGAGACGACTACAATTCGCTATTTGCACATCACTTATTCGGGAATAAAACCATAGAAATTCAAAAGGAACTGAAAATGTTTAGGATCGTTATAATGTTTTAAATAACCAAATAGATCTTTATGTTAATTTTTTACTAACAAATACCAAAATATTCCCTATAAAATACACTATAATTTGATCATTATGATATCAAATAATTATAAAATATATATTTGAAATGATAAAAATTGGACTAATTGTGTTGGTCGAGGTTGAACCATTGAATAACTTTAAAATACATTATATTTTAGCCACTAAGATATAAATTAATAGCATAATATATATTATGTCAGAGAAATTAGCTTATTTTAGAATGACAAACCAATGATGTTCATTTATTTTACTTGATGGCCAAATCCCATGTAGGTCAGGCACATTCAACTCTTTTATTTTATGGTTGGCGGTTAGCCCATTATATACCATGCATTAGTTTATTGTTAAATGTTTTATTTTTGTCACCACGGAGAAATAAAATGGCTTAAAGAAAAAAATTGACACTCCTGGACCCGTTTAAATTCACATGTGTACGGTAAGTTGGCACGTTCCACAGAGGAAAGAGAAAAAAATTGACACTCCCTATTCTACCATTCCTACAAACGCTCATGGAGTAGGGAATTTGAAATGGGGGAATGATTTTTTCCTCCCTGCTATTATATGTTTTTAATTTAAAAAGATACAACAAATGTGCTTAGTGTGATTGGTTATTATCCTTGCTTTTCTTTAAAATGGTCATGGTTCGAATCCCAGTACATGTTTTTTTAATGAATAAAAAAAAGTAATTGTGAAGACCAAAATGTCCATCCTACTTTCACTCTCGTTGCAGGAAATTTGAAATGGGGCTCCCGTTTTTTCCTTCGGCGTATTATATTATGTGTAGATTAATACGGCATGGGCCGGGCCCACATCCATACTCGGGCCCACTCAATGGATTCCTCTTATCCACGGTAAATATTGCATTATTCTTCCACGGCTAAATTGCAAGTTTGGTCACTTGAATTACTAGTAAAATTCACGTTGGCCACTAGAATTATTCTATTCTATCTATAGTCACTTAAGTTAATTCAACAGTTCAAGTTTGGTCACTCTCCATTAGTCTTCGTTAGGGATGGAGGTTCGGTTGCCGGTTAACCGATCGGTTAAACCGATAACCGGCGATTACCGATTAATCGACTAACCGAAAATTAAGGGCACAGGCGGTGTTCGGTATCGGGGTTGGAGAGGTCGGTTAACCGGCTAACCGATAGTAATAACCGCCGGTTAAACCGACTAACCGGCGCATCCTAACCCTAGTAAAAACGACGCTGGTCCAGTGTCCACGTTCCCTAACCCTAATCCGCCTAAATTGAATAATCGATCCGCCATTCCTCTGCTGCTCTGCATTGCGACTCGCGAGACGGCGAGACCACCCCCAACGCGCACTCTCCCTATCGCCGCCGCGACTCTCCCTGTTGTCGCCGCCTGCCCTCACTCTCCCCTGCCGCCGCCGCTTGCCCTCACTCTCCATGCCGCCTGTCTGACGCCGCCGCCATCTCCCTCCCCGACGCCAGCCGCTCCTAGTCTCCGCCATCTCCCTCCACGACGCCGCCGCTGCGATCTGCCTCCACAAGACCACGACGCTGCCATCTAGCCTCCACGACGCTGCCGCTGCCATCTGCCTCCACGAGACCACGACGTCGCCATCTGGCCTCCACAACGCCGCCGCTGCCATCTGCCTCCACGAGACCATGACACTGCCATCTATCTCGGTTTGTGTTGCGGTTACCTTGGTTAACCGAGCAACTAATCGGTAACCGACTGGTCGGTTGCCGGCTAATCGATGGTTTCCGTCTGGCGGTTGACGGTAATGTTGCTGTCGTCGCGGTTAACCGGTAACCGACATTTCGGTTATCGGTTATAACCGATCTAACCGAAAATCGAGCCCTAGTCTCCGTTAACTTTGGCTGACGTGGCAGTCAACTATGATGTTTGACCGTTAAATGTGTGACGTGGCAATTAAAAATTAATAAATTTTTTTCTTTAAGTATTCCACCTCGCTAAATAAATAATTAAATAATAATTGTAATAAAAAATACAAAATTGAAAAAATAAAATTCATTCCCCCCTTCTCTTCCGCTGCTTCTTCTCCAAAGACAAAATACCTTCTCTGATTCTCCATCCCACTCCGGCAACCCACATCATCGTCCACTCCATGGCCCCCGCTCCCGGTCTTTAACGCCTTCCAATCCATTGCCATCGCTGATCAATTGATTCATTCTCTCTCCCGGGCGAGAACTCGATAGGTTTTCTAATTTTTTTTTTTTTTCATCTCGCAGCGGAAGTGGAAATCAGCGGGAGGGGGAAATTCAGCAGTTGTTGACAGTGATTTCTCATTTTCCCGCGCGCAATCATAATCATCATGAGCTTTGTTTTCGCCGGTTCTTTGTTTCTGCTGCAACGGAACAGGGGAGCTCTGTTTATGCCGGGAGCAACTAGGCGGCGGCGGCAATGATTATGGTGAATCTTGGATTTCCCGACTCATGTCCTCCTCCATTCGCCGCACGACAATCCATTCCACCTACGCCCTTCTATCACCGCCGTCGCGATCCTTATGCCGTCATGCTCTCTCTGAGACCCGTCGTCGCTTCCCATGCAAGGATTGTCGCGCACACAGGCCATAGAAGAAGACAAACCGTCGTCGTCGCCGCATCGCCCGAGATGGTCGTCGCACACCAGATGAAACAGATGAAGATGAACCATCGCTCATAGTCGTCGTAGTTGTAACCAGCGGCATAATTCGCCTCCACTCCATCCCTTCGCCGTCCATTCTTTTGCTCTTCCATGTTCTTCTTATTTTTCCGTAACACTCACAGTTGAATGCATAATAATGTCCGCGTGAAAATTGAAATGGCGTAGCCGCAATCGTCGAGCTCCTTCACTGGTATCCATCTGTTCTTCACCTTCGTCGATAGATTTACACACATGTATTGCTAAAGAACCAAAAGCCATTGTTTACTCTGGATAAAAGCAACGATATTCTTTTTATAGTTATTATCAAGGTTCACGGGCAGGGTCGGGAGAATGAATTTTGTTTTTCCAATTTTGCAAGTTTTGTTATTGTAATTATTATTATTATTTATTTTAATTTATTGTGATAATGAGGTGACAATTGTAAAAAGTTTAAAGTTTATTATTTTATTATTTTTTAATTGCCACATCACACATTTAATTGTCAAACATCAGAGTTGACTGCCACGTCATCCAAAGTTAACGGAGATGAACGGAGAGTGACCAAACTTGAACTGTTGAACTAATTTAATTGACTACGGATGAAATAAAGTCATTCTAGTGGCTAACGTGAACTTTACTAGCAATTCAAGTGACCAAACTTGCAATTTAGCCATTCTTCTATCTATATATAAAAGCCATTTTTTTTTTTTTGCCGAGAAGACACCAGAGGACGACAAGTGTCCAAACTGCCGGAACTAACCCTACATTAATTTGCTTAATTTCTTCTTTGTCGCAGACTCTAGCGTTGTAACTTTACTTCTCCTACTTCCAATCCTAATAATTCGATACCTATCCTTTCTGACTCTCACAATCTCTCTACCTCAAACTCCCTCTGCTTTGCTTCCATCATTTTCCCCCTATATATCAATCCATTCGGGAGAAATTTTACTGCCAATTGTTGCTTTCGGCTTCCAGTTGCCTGAAACCTTTGTTGCATGTCATCGATTCCTTTGTTCCCACTAACTTCAGCTCGGTTGGTTGTTGGATTAGAGGTATCGACGACAACCTTTGGTTCTTATCCATCTTGGCAGTCATGGATTTGCAAACTAAAAAAAATCAGTAAGCAGCCATCGTTTAGAGAAGCATCCCATGGATTCACAACGGAAAAAGCTTCAAGAAAGCACCAATCAATCAGAGAAACTAGCAACCACGAATCACCTACTAAAAGAGATTTCAAGAACAAGAATGGAAGAACAGCCGTGAGAACCGGATTTCTGTGTCACTCTCTCTTGGGGGAGAAATACAATGCATTCGATTGGATATAGTATTTGGAGGGAGAGAGACGGGGAGGAGTGGATTGCATGCTCTAGAGAAAGAGAGAGACGATATGATTTGGGACTTTGCAGAGACATATGCTAGAGAATAAAAGGTGTTGGCCTTGTGAAACCGCTGCATAGGGTCTAAGTTTCTGTCCTTGAACCCTAATCCTTAAGGAGAATATTAAAGCATTTCTATTGGTTTCTTGGGTTTTAGTTAGTTATCAGGGATTATAAGTAAAGTAGTTATAAATGATATTTAGAGAATTTTAACTCTGTTATCCATGTCTAACTCCGTTATCCGAGCCGAACCCTTCGTCTCCACAACTTCTGTCGTTCCATTCCTGTTTCCTCCGTTCGTCTCCTAGTAAAGGGTGCTTCATCCATCCCTCATTTAGCCTCCGTCTTTTGTCCGTCGTTTGGACGTCGGTCGGTTGTCTCGCCGTCGAAGTCTGGTCCTTTGTCCTGGAGGGGCCGCTCCGCCCGTCCCTTTTCCGTCGAGCTCCCTCCTCAGCTGCTTGCAATCGTCCGACAATTTTACTTTCTCTGCCAATCGGATCTGACCCGCCAATCTATGGCTTTTGGTAGTGTGTTGATTGTCCATTCTATATGCTTTTCTTACTGTATCTTTTCCCCCTTTTTTTTACAAAGGACACTGAATTTCCATTAAATGAAGCAAAAGCCAGTCATTACAAAAGGGGAGCAACCACATCAAGAATCTGTAGCCATTGTGATGGCAATTGGTTTTTAGCACATGATCTAGCTACCCAATTAGCTTTAGAGTTGTTCCTTCTACCTACCGATGTGCTTGATCTTGATCAGCGGATTATCGTCCAGCATTTGTTTGATGATACCCAGCCAAGCTGCCGCTCGCCATGACCATGTCTTAGGATGGCTATGAATTGCTCGAACCAGGGCCAAGTAGTCAGATCGCACCAGGCATGGAGACCTGAGGGAAGCAGCTAACCGGGAGCCCTCCAGCAGGGCCTTTGCTTCTGCTTCAAGTGGGGAAAAACAGTGCAAAGTCTCAGCTTTACCATCACACACTTGACCATGGTTGTTCGAAACAACGACGCCATATGCCGCCTCCTGGGAATCGTCGAAAAACTATCCGTCGTAGTGTACTTCAAAGTCATGAGTACCTGGCGGTGACGAAGAGTGCTCTTGGGGTGAGATGAGCTGAGATGATGGGGGACCAATGGTTTGTTTCCTGGGGCACGTGGTGCATTAATGGTGATGATGCGCCAAAGCTGCCTTCGAGATTGTGGAGGGGGGCCATGGGGAAGTACTTTTGAAGATCTTCTCATTCCTCGTTTTCCATGTCTGTCAAACAAGAAAAATGATCTTCTGAATCGAGCAGATCGAGAAGCTGTGTCGCAGGGAGTCCAACCATTCCAGGAAGGGAGTGAGAGGAACAGGGGGAGGCAACGATGGCCATTCCTGATTCCATCCTTCAGCCGCGTGTGGGAAGGTGAATAAGCAGTGATGAATCGATTCAGAAGGGAAATCACAGATCGGGCACACCTTCGAAGCAGAGCATTTTCTCGCAAATAGATTCTCTTTAGAAGCCATGGCCCCTCTGGTCACCCTCCAAACGAAAAACTTCAGCTTCGGGGGGATAGACAAACTCCAAAACCACTTCCACCTTTGCTTACTAGCCTCCGAAATAACCTCGACATGGCCTTGTGCTTATCTGACACGATTATGGAAATGGATGAAGGCTGACTTGAGCCTGAAGACTCGGTGGTCAGTGAACCTCCACACCCAGAAGTCTTCAAGAGACTCCGAGCCAATTGGGATGGCGGCCACCTGTTTCAGATCATGTTGGCTAAGAAAATCAGCCAGTAGGTCGAACTTCCATTCCCTCGAGACATCATCGATCCAATTGTCAGTAGTAGTACTGTCATTCCAATCGAACTGAAGAAGAGGGCTCGCCCTGTTGAATCTCCAAGGGTCATGGAAAACCTTCGTTGTTTTTCCATTGCCAATCACCCGAATCAGACCCTGTCGAATCCATGATTTAGCTTCACATAAACTGGACCAAATCCATGAGGCCTTTCCTCCTTTTTTTGCATTAAGAAAGTCCGAATTGGGAAAATAGATACTTTTCAGTACCTTGACCCACAAGGAATCCTTCTTGGTGAGGATTCTCCACGCCTGTTTGGCCAATAATGCCATGTTGAAAGTATGGAAAGGACGAAATCTGAGTCCCCCCTCCTTTTTTGGTGAGTATAGCACATGTCCAGCCCTCCAATGGATCGTTCTCTTTGTCATATTTCCTCCCCAGAAGAAATTTTTGAGCATTGAATCCATTTTCTTCGTTGTACTCTTTGGCAGGAGGAACAGGCACATAATGTATGATGGGACCGCCTGAAAAACCGCTTTCAGCAAAACCTCTTTTCCTCCTGGGGAGAGGAGGAGGCTTTTCCATGCTTCCCCTCTTGCTTCCATGCGCTGGAGTAGGAAATTGAAGGTTTCTTTCTTCGATCTGCCCCATTCAGTAGGCACTCCAAGGTAGTTGGAATGACAGTTAGTGGGTGCAAAACCAGTTTCCTGGATTATCCTTTCCTGATCATCACTTGGAACATTGCAGCTGAAGAACATTGATGATTTATCCCTGTTAACTTCTTGACCTGTGACCTCCCCATAATCATGGAGGATGTCCAGGATCTTCCCTGCCTCTTCACAAGAAGAATCTCGAAAAATGACCGTGTCATCAGCAAAAAGACAGTGGGTAAGAGTAGGGCATGTTCTGTTGAGCTTGATACCTTTGATCCCATTGTTCAGGACGGCCTTTTCAATAAGGAAGGAAAGGGCATTCGACATCAGGATGAAAAGGAGGGGCGAGAGCGCTCCCCTTGTCGAATGCCCCTTGAGGGCTTGAAGCCAGTGGTTGGTTCACCATTGAACAGCAAATTGAAGTTGACTGTGGAGATACAGGAGTGAACCCAGCCACACCAGACCTCGTTGAAACCATATGCCCTAAGTAGGTTAATCAGATGACCCCATTCCACCAGATCGTAAGCTTTCCTCATATCAAGCTTCATCATCATCTCCCTTCGATTCCCTGTTTTGTGCTTCTTGAAATGGTTAAGAACCTCGTGGACTATGATGATATTGTCTTGGATTTTTCTACCCCCTGTGAAAGCCGATTGAAGCTCATTAACCAGCTCGAGCAACAAAGGTTGGAGCCTGTTTGTCATGATCTTGGTGATGACTTTGTATCGAAAATTGCAGCAGCTAATCGGTCTAAACTGACTGATCATCTCAGGCGCCTCCACTTTGGGGATGATGGTAATGAAAGTATCATTCCAGTTGTCAGGCATAACTCCTGTCAGGAAAAAAATTGTGATCTCGTGGCAGAAAGTATCCCCCTGAGTGCTCTGGTATTTTCTGAAGACACCACCTTACGAATCTCTTCCTTTCCCACCGGTGCACACAAACCATTGTTGACCTCCTCCGAAACCAGCCTAGGGAAACCCTCCAGGATACTCGTGTCACCTTGTCTGTTATTGCTGGTGAAGAGGGTGCGATAGTATTTTGTGGCATGGTCAACCAGTTCCTGGGCATTGTCAATCCACAACCCTCTTGCATCCTTAAGCTTGAGGATGCGATTTCTGTTCTTCCTTCTGATGGTACTGGCGTGGAAGAAACCTGAGTTCTGATCCCCTTCCTATAGCCAAGAGATCCTAGACCTTTGGGCCCAGAAAATCT